GTCATAGCTCACTATGACTTAGTTACAAATAACTTTTTTTTCTCTCACAGATGATATGTCGCAGTAATAGTTTTGTGTTGATAACAACGGAGTTATCGTCATTTATACAAAAACAAAAAATCATTCGGAAGCCGCCATCTTGAATTTATGAATGTTAACGGAAAAATCATGATCTTCGACCTCAAAACCCCCCTCTTACCAATTTTGAATGGAATCGGACCAAATCTTGTCCGCCATCTTGGAGCAGCAATTTTTTTCAATTTCAACAAAAATTCCATAACTCCGATTAACTTGAAATTTGGCAGGTGTTCATAATTTCGGTGACAATACATTATGGTTTTTTTGTTGAAATTAAAAAAAAATGGCTGCTCCAAGATGGCGAACAAGATTTGGTCCGATTCCATTCAAAATTGGTAAGTGGGGGTTTTTGAGGTCGGAGATCATGATTTTCTCATTAAAATTCATGAATTCAAGATGGCGGCTTCCGAATGATTTTTTGTTTTTGTATAAATGACGATAACTCCGTTGTTATCAACACAAAACTATTACTGCGACATACCATCTGTAAGAGAAAAAGAAGTTATTTGTAACTAAGTCATAGTGAGCTATAACCTACATTTGAAAAACTAAAGTTGGTGCTGATATCTCAAATTCTAGAAGAGTTGGTATAAATATCATATTTTTTTTCGGAATCACTTTGAAAAACTGCCATGAGAATGTGAAATTCCTATTTGAATATTTTCATAAATAAAGAAGTTACGGAGGAGACATGAAAATGATCAAAATTTGTTTTTTGGGTATAAAACAAAAACGAATAAATTTTATCGAAATATTTTTTCACATCATAGTTGGCCTTGACAAACTCCACATTTGGTGTCATTCAACCGACCTCGTATCTTTCACCGTTAAAAAGATACCCATGGTGAGCATGGTAAGTGGGACACACTGTATAGTACCGCGGTATTTATCGTTGAAATTATAAGTAATTGAATGAAGATTCTTAATTTTGTAATTACAATTGAAATTGAAATATGACTAATTGTCAATTTCGTATATACAGGGTATAGCATTGGAATAAGTGCAAATATTTCAAACACTGAGAAAGCTCGACCTGTGCTATCGAATGGTACTAATATTTGAGGTTAGACCCCTTTTTCACCCAAAGTTCTACACTGTAGCAAATCTGACTTCACCTCTGTTCAAATTTCCATGTGGTAGGTAAAATCACGCCGAGTGCAATCATTTAAATTTAGTGCAGCGGAACACAGGGTAAAAGTTATCAAAAAATTTTTTGAGAGTAGTAAGATATCAGACCCTCACTATCCTATCTAGAAATTATTGACTCATTAGAATCCTTCTTGACTACTTTTTTCTATGGTACCGAAAAAAGTTATGAACGAACAAACACAAAAATTACAAAAAAAATCTACTGCGCACGTAAATGTATAAACCTTTGTAACTTGGAGACCTCATAACTCAGATGATTCAACTTCTCATCATTTTGTTGAGGATATTATGAGGATTCGATTCATTGTATATAAACTGGCAAAATTAGGTTTTTCATAAGTGAAAATGATTTTTTTGTCATTCTTTACATGAATAATTTAGCATTAACACACCTTCAATTGATAATAACTTTCTTTTTCACGATATGAATTCCAATTTTTTTCTCTCATCTAGATAGATTGAAGTGTAACGAACAATTTGTTTCGAATAAACTTTTCGCACGTTTCAAAAATAAACTTTCTATAGCGCTTTGAATGACAACGTGCAACTTTATACAGGCTATGCACAGTGAGTGAGACAGAGTGCGATAGATACTGGTGTATGAGTGCGGAGCGAAGATGAAATAATATCAAGAGCTTCATCCACAGATATGATGAATGTACTAGATTTATATCGATAAATTTACATATTTGCTTGATAAGAATGTCAATTTTTTTATAAAATATTGAATCTAATTGAAATTTATCACATATTCCTCTGAAAAACTAGTGAAAAGTTTGTTATCATAAATCTGAGACCCGATGATGCAACACAGTCTCTCTGGAAGAAAAATAACACGATTATATGTAATGGAAGATTTGGATTCTTTTTGTAAATGTAACATAATTATAGTGTATCTGCAACCTCATGAATGCACAGACAGTATTTAATAAATTGTTAGTTACAGAATTATTCATTATTATGAGGAATTATAATTTTGTCAATAAAATGAAAAAAAAAAATTCGATGGATTGTATATCAAATTATTTCAATGTTCGCAAAATATATAAACAATATAATCGATTCACTAATTATTTATACATATCATGTCATTGTTATTTAAGTAGTTTAATTCGATCAACATGTACTTATTTGCATTGCATTTCAAATTATCGTCATTGTCTTTTTTTCAAAATTGCATGATTTGTCGGAGCAAGAAATATTTAGCATTTCTTGTATATCTCTGGATGTATAGGTGGTAGAGTTGAAAATACTGATGATTTCAGTAAACTTTCATCATGATCATTACAGTTTTTCTCTTGCAATATATTTTATATTGTATTGAACATCCAGGAATGAATTAAGTATACAATTTGGGTGAATTTCATGAATCTACAAAGTTATCACCTCGGTACGAACTGTGTGAATGTATTTCCTGTAGAAAGAAGTTCGACAGAAGAATTGATAGTATTGACAGTGAATTCGTGTCTTATTAGCTGATCTGAGATCGTAATATTAGCATCTTCGTTTCCTATATGTATATAATTCCATTAGTTACATGATCCCTTGCTATGTCCACACAATCAAATAATTTTGCTGAAGTAAACTCTCAATGTCGTCTTTTTTTTCGGAGCAATATCTAATGCAAAATCTTTCCATTTTTGAAAATAGCATCATTTGAATCAGATTCAGTGAAGGGCATGTAGAGCCGGTAGTTTCTTGCAAAATTCTATTCCTATAGACCATTAGGTACTGATATAGAATTAACATAAATCAAGTATATGAGAAGTTTGACTGCATGGCCATTTTGGAAATAGAAATTGGTATTTCAAATAATAGAATCATAAGAAATACAGAATGATGACAGAACATCAGTATCATCCGACTAAAGAGAATATTACTGGAAGATTCGGATTCTTCCATTAAATGTAACATAATTATCTGCTATCTCATGTATGAATTTCAGAGATTCATTGTTTGTAACAGAATTATCCATTATTATCCTACATTCACCCTTCCGGCGATACCTCGATCCAGCGATGGTTTATTTCTGAATAGTAAATGTCTGAATAATATCACAAATTAATATTTTCGCTAGAAATATTACCAGGTTATGTTTATTCCTGGACGCCTTTGAAAACCACTGAGATTTAGGAATGGAGCAATTTCCTTTTTTCGAAAACATTTATAATTTGTATCTCCTCGTCTTTATTGCTCTAAGAGATTCTACGATCATATCTGTCGAATACAATAATCACATAATACGTTTGGGAATTTTTCATTTTGAGATCTTTTTTTTATTTCATAAACAGAGCTGACCTAATTCACTGAATGTTATTTTCAACTCTTTCATCTCTCGAACTAATGAAAAAATAGGAAAAGAAACACTTATATCAACCATAGATTATCAACTCATATGAAAGTATGTCTGCTAGATTACTGTTTTTTCAAACGGCTATTGAACATACCATCTGATCCTATTACTATATATGTATACTATATAGACTCACCTTCTTTATTCATTGCATTCTTCTGACAATCATGTCATGAAAATTCTTCAATATATTTTGGTATACTATTATTTGTCCAGCTGCAATGTTCATAAATTTTTTAGGGGACTCATGTTTAGAAAATTCTAACATCTCCTAATATCTTCGTGGTCTTTTTTTATACCATTTTCACTTCGTTGCCTTTGAAGTGAATTATTTTGGGACAATATATGTAACTGAAGTTATTTACCTACATACTCAATCATAAAATGAGTCGTTTCAATCGATTGTAAGAATGTTACTAGCAAAAGAATCATCAAGAACGCTCCATCTCCATTCGCAAATGAGACAGTTATTCTCCCCGAATCTTTACTGTTTGTTCTTGTCTAGAACATGTAAACGCCGCTGTATCGTTCTCACTCGTGCGCTCGGATGACCTCTTACGTATAAGACAATAAACGCTTCTACAAAGTTTATTTTTGAAACGTGCGAAAAGTTTATAGGAAACAATTTGTTGCTCACATTCCAATCTATCAAAAGATATCATGAAAATCGAAATTCATATCGTAAACTAAAAAGTTATGATAAACTGAAGGGATGACAATGGAATTTATTTCGCGAATTCTGTACAAAATGATACATTTTGGATCGAAAAATACTTGAATTTCCCAACATATTATATATGAATCGAATATCCAGAATATGCTTAATCATTCTATGAAAAGACTGCGTATATAAGTGCTATAATCGTGAAGTTACAAAGGTTTATATATTTACGCGCGAAGTTATTTTTTTCTTAAATTTTCGAGTTTGGTCGCTTATAACTTTTTTCGGTACCATAGAAAAAAGTAGTCAAGCTGGAATATTATGTAATAATCATTTATATTCGAGATGGTGAAGGTCCCATATCTTTCTACTCTGAAAAAAAAAAGTCTGTAAGGAAGAGGATTTTGCCTCGTTCTCCTCTGCACTAATTGTTTTAAAGAGGCGTACTTGATTTTTTTTGTCGTATTTTGTTCAATTTTTGGGAAGAAGAATCAGCAAAAATCTGATATCATGGGAATATCCCTTAGACTGTATTATATTGATGTGCTGAATATGTGCACTTATTTCAAAAACACCTTGTATACGATACATTTTTTCAGAAATCTGAGAAATCCCTGTTCTGCATCATAATGCTCTCTTCTATCTAAAAATGACGCCCATTGGATCATTATGGTGAGAAATCAACCCTCACATTTTTCTTTTCTGTCAATAGAACCGAACAATTTAACAAATCACTTGATGACTATTAGAAGATTAGAAATGGCCTTTGAAATGGATGTTGTGGAACCATTTGCTATCATCATTTCGGCCTACAAACGCCATTCCGCCAGAGTTATGGCCGAGTCGAATGTGCGTAAGTTATGCCTGTAAACAGACACTTTACATAACGAGATGTCTAACCCCGACTGCGCCCTTAGCCCTCACCCTTACGTCTCGAGGGGTTGGCTTGGCGACGACAAATCTACCCGTATATTGGCCTTCTCCATGTCTACAATTATTTCGACTTTGTCTCTCGAGCAAGGCAGACCACCCGCAGTTTATTGAAGAAAAGAGGAAATAGTAAAATGGTTGCTATCTACTGAAATGACCATGAAAAAAATAATTGGTTTATTATCGTCTCCATCTATTAAATATATATGATATATTTATGAATTCAATTAGATAACTAAGGAAACTATGAATCATTATAATTTGTTTTCGGAAGTTTCAATGACACTTATGAAATACTTCTTTCAAAAGAAGAGTATCGAACTCGTACCAGAATCAACTAGGAAATAGCCACAATACTCAAAGTGGAATGAAATGTTAAATGAATGCAAAAAGCTCAAAGTCATTTCCACACAGTGTTCATAAAATGAACAACAATGGTAGATTTCGGGAGAAAAACAACTACTTTCCTGGCTAATGCCACGCATCATCAGGATATTGAATTACATCCTCCCGAAATCTATGCATCGACTCGTATAAACGAATACTGATACAAGTGATACAGATGGTCTGTATATAATCTCTGAGTGATACAAGTATTGTGGCTATTTCCTAGTTGAAATTACGCCAGTCGGGCAACCAGCCACTCCCGTATGGGGAATTTCAGTTTTGGAGTGATTCCTTCCTCGGTTCTACCCAGATGGCGTTACTTTCATTTTATCGATGAAAGACGCCTCGGGGTGGATATAATGCCAACTTGATTTTTGTTTGGCTAGGCTTCGCTGAGTCGGCGGTCTTAGGACTGCTGGCTGGAGACTACACTACACTGATGAGAGTCAAAGAGCTCGAAACCGGTCTGTGGTTGTCTAGCGGCCTGGCTTAATCGAAATCAATAGGCATTCAGGAAAGAATCACTTGTATCAGTATTCGTTTATACGAGTCGATGCATAGATTACGGGAGGATGTAATTCAATATCCTGCGTGGCATTAGCCAGGAAAGTAGTTGTTTTTCTCCCGAAATCTACCATTGTTGTTCATTTTATGAACACTGTGTGGAAACGACTTAGAGCTTTTTGCATTTATTCGTACCAGAATACTTTGTAGCATAGATTAAGAAGACCACCTGTAGGTATATAGATATTAGTTGATAATGTTGATATTGTTGAACATATAAGAACACAAAAGATGTATTATGATATCAAACGACACATTTCCAATAATTCACCTCTATCAAAATTATTTTCTAATTCTTTGCCAACGAAAGTAAAAATTCCACTACCTACGTTCTCTCCTTTTCCTCCCTAGGTACGCACGATGTTCTTCAAACATTATAGATATTCCCTCTCGTGCGATCCAAGAGGTAAAAAAAATAATGAATAGGGTAGGTACGTTTACATCGTGTCTAATAGTTCTTGTGTGGAATTTAGTATATTTTCTTTGAATTGAAATGGAATTTAAACATTTTCAATGCATCGATTATCGATTAGTAACTTTTGGTATCCAGGATACAAGTAGGTTTATATAATTTCTTGAGGCGCTCTTGGTGAATATTTACCTATTGAGAAAATAATGCTATTAGAGTTTCCGCTGAGATATTTCTTGCTACCATTACAAGGATCCTATTACGCTTTACACATTTTCCAATAGAAGCAACACATTGAAATCCAATGATAGCAATAACGACTTTGCTGAAAATGAATTTTCTGCCACAGGCAGGTATACTGCTGTCGCTATCAGGCAGCCCCTCTGGGACAGCATGATTTTTTTATAATTGTTTAGCTGAATTACTACTAGTGAGGTTATATGCCTGTGGCTGCAAGGCTCATCGCATAAACCTGCACTCACTACCAATCATACAACTGTCAGCCTGCCACGAAATTAATATTTGACGAACATACTTGGGGTTATTCAGCGCCTACTTATCTTTATTCGATATTTTGCTGATTTTTTCCACTCTATGAGCAATTGTCATCTTGCGTCCCAAAGACATGTTCAATCATTTCCAGTTGGGCAAACCCATGTACAGGACGATATTCTTCAATTCTTTATTCAGAATCTGAATCTGAATATGAATCCGAATATAGAATGAAAACTATTCTGAACAAATGAAGAATTCTTCAGTTTTCCTCTGAGTGCTTCCGTAGATCTGAGTGCTTTAGTTATTACCAGGATTGATGGAATGGGAAAGGTTAGTTTGTTCAAGGTATTTTGACTGAAATTTAATTATTTTACATTCAACAATTTCAACATTTCTTCCTTTTTGGTCCAATGGAACTTTTAAATTGTCAAATTGGTCATTGGTCCGAAATTCTCTTTATGACACTAATTCCAAACCAGGGTGCATGGAAATTATTGAAAAAGAAATTGGATTTTAGTCAAAATTTCACCTCTTTTTATGAAAACAATCCTGGAAAATAGCTGAATAACTATCTACATTATGATCATCTACCAAGATTAGCAGAGTTCTCTACCCATTATTATAAAGTTGATCCTATTATCAGATGCAGTCACTTAGGTGGGTTATAATCAGCGAAGTCGACTTTATGATCACAGGTGATATCTCGCTTGTTCCCTATGCCATGAGAGTTTCTTGTTGGGATGATTAGATTTCTAACAATATGGTTAATAGAGATTTTCCTCAGTGTTAGATGGTGTTAGTATTGATGAACTGTCCTTATTTTCCATCCTATCTTTCTGTAGTGCATCATATGAAATTTCGTTTTTTTCTCAAGTTTTGAGTTATTGACTGAAATTTAACGTGATTTTTAGAACATGGACGATTATTTTGAAATATATAATGAGGTGATCGATCTGAAATTCAGATGTCATAACGGACGTAATCTAATAAATAATAAAAAGGAACTTGAAAAATGAGATTTATGATCCCAACAATCACACAGTATTCTTATAGGTGCTGGTTAATTTTCAAGCACTAATTCTCTAATAATCTCTTTTTTGTGGGGAGCTCATCTGCAAAAATATACCGTAAGCATTTTACCGTGTTTGTTCGTTCAGAAGATTTGATTAAGTAAAATTTGAATTGGGAAATTTCCCCTATATATACACACTTTCTCACTCATATTGAAGAACATTAAAATTCAACTATTATATGTTTCTGTCAAATAATTATCTGATAGTTTTTTTTTCACGGTATTAGTGCTGTGCTGTTTACACAATTGAATATATTTGTATTAACATGAACATAATCTTTATACTTCAGTGGCTCTGAACTATGTTGACCTAAAAAGCTTTAGTCTACGCAACGTATATTTTTTCTTTTTTATATATATCTTAATTTACGGTTGCAACTGAGGTAAATTAGGAAAATCATATGAAATTTAATAATAATCACAAATCGATGGATCCGGAAGACGCATTATTATTTGCACTAGCTGGAGAGGATGAACGCAGAAAAGTGGGATTGAAATGAGCTACATCATGATTCAACCTGACGTCACCCAGGTGGAAAATCTGTACAATATCACCCAGTGGGGTCTGATGTACTTCATAATTAGGAACACAAAAAAACCCATTAGGATTTTATTCAGATTTGTACGTGAAATCCTTTTCAGATGTATTCATGCACTTCGCATAATTATAATCATGCAGTAAAAATATCATCAAATACATATTTCAGATAGCAAAATCCTCAGGATATAGAAACATGATATCTTTGAAAACTGTTGAAAACATAGATATAAGCCTATATACAACACTCAATTCTGTATATGATTTCATGCGAAACTAAATATGCAAAAATGTCCAAGTTATCAGCTAGAAAAGTAGCATGTAGTAAGTATATAATATGAAGAAGACAAAAAATAATCACCTTCATTATGAGAATTCACAGGTAGGTATATCTTAGAATTGAATGTTTATCTTTGTTACACAGGTGGGGCTTCACAGACTTCAAAGTTGTTTGCTGCACTGTAGCTATATATTTTTGGTAGTTGATGACTGAATATTGATTTCGCGCCAGAATATCACAAAATGTACTGTTTTGGGAAGATATTATATTCAACCAATGAAACGTGCGTGCATTCAGATAATGGAAATACCAGTGATTCAAAATTAGTTCATGTCTCTCAGTCCCCACCTGGGCGACCCCGGGTTAAAGGGGATGTATAATATGCATACCGTTTTTTCATTAATTTGTTACTTTCATCAACTGTAATTAATTTCGATTTTCGATTTAAGGACACTACACAGTTTTATGCACCATTAATCAAACCAATTTTTCAAACGCTTCGACACGTGTTTCTCTAACTATGTTAACATCTTTTGGAGGAGATTGAAACAGTCAGTTAAAACAGTTCTCCTTCTCCTGGATATGCTAAAGGAGTTTGCGAAGCAAGTTTCAAGGCGTTTGGTTAGTGGTAAAATAATATTTATCAATGCACTATGCGCCTACTTGCTTCAACTTTAAAGTATTCTTTCATGATCAAATAACAGTACTCAAACTTAGCTATACTTATATATATGAAAATATTTGTTTTCTATAATATCTACTGATGCACACAGTAACTTTTATTATTCAATCAATATTGTTTATAATGTCAGATGAATACTCAACTTGAATTTTCTGAAATTTCAATCTCCTTTTGAAAAATGGGAAAAAGGAACTAGTTGTCTGACGCCTGCGCAAGTCGCACTTTCTCTCATATGTCTCTTTAAGAATTAAAAGTTCCTCATCTTGTAGGTTATATGAACTATTTAATGAAACATAAAAAACAATTGGAATGCATAGTAACACCATATCATGTTTCAACTTCTTAGTGAAAAGAGTGATATTACAGAATACAGATCGATGGAAAAGCGGTTCGCATAAATCCGCCTCAACTTTTTATTATAATTAAACTTCTGATACCCCAATGAACCCGACGAATATCCTGTGCATTTATTAAATATAATGGTCACACCATTAAC